TGGCCGAGCAGCCTCAGGGGATGGCGCTGATGACGCTGCCCTCCAGGGAGGGGGAATTTTGGAAATGTAAGCAAATGAGAGATGCTTTGAACAATTTGACGCCTGTCTCAAGTAGTTACTTGCAGTTCTCAAGTAATCTGCTAGATGGCATAATGCTATAACAATAACAATGATAACAACCATAATGATAACTATACACGGGTTGATTTTAATTGATCCAAACTCCAGAAATGATTTGTTAAATAATTTAAGCAGGCCTTTACATATCGCACTGCACACGTATGTACCACTTCCTTTTTGTTGAGCTTTTATTCAAACACTGACAAAGTGCTGTTCTCCACAAGCTTGGAATTTCTCTTCTTTCTGGCAAAGGATGCATGGGCCTGCAAATGACAGCATGTGCATGTGAGGAGAAAAAAGGTCATATTTTCTGCGTGGCAAGTTTAAGGAGCATCTTCCAGAATAAAGAGAGGAGGAGAGAGCAAGACCTTCTCTGCAGTAAGTTTGAGTGAAGAGCTGAGCTGCTAATGATTTTCTTTTGAAACAAGTAGCTTCTTGCCGAGCTGAAAAGCCTACTGCTGGCTGATGGGGAGGCAGCCCAGGAGAAGCACAGGGCTTTGGAAAAGGCTTCTTGTGGGACACACAGGCTCTGCTGCCTGCTGCAATGCCATTCTTGTCCCAGGCACTGCTCCCATTGGTAGAGGACAGACTGTTCTGTGGTCTCTGCTCAGTGCTGGGGCTGCTCCCTGCAGACAAGGTGTAGCGTTCCCCTAGGCGTGGCATGTCCCCTGCTCAGGATGTAGGCAGAGATGCACAGTCCCCCATCCATCAGGCTCCATTCATCAGTGCTAAGTCAGCTTTACAGCTGGCGATGGTGAATCAGTCCCTGACACAGCTGAGGCGTGTGGGCTGCACAAAGAGCAGCGCAGCCCCTGGAACTGCTCTGTGACAGCCAGCAGCCCCATCCCACCGCTGCTTCCTAAGGATGGGCTAGCAAAGGGAGAGCAAAGGCAGCCTGGTTGCTCTGCTGGTAGGTTTGGACTGTGTGGGGAAGTCAGATGTGGGAGCAGATGTTTGCAGAATTACATGTCAAGCATTGCTATCTGCCACTGCTGCAAATCACTGCCCTGCTCACTGACACATCAGTCATGGCTTGGTGGGCCACAGTCCTGCCTGGGGTCGGGCAGCCCTTACAGCATGGTATGGTTGAATGCTGAGCTTCACACAGGTCTGATCTAGCAGGCAGCATGTGATGAATTGGCTAGAAAATACCCATAACAAATGATGTAACACCAGGAAAGGCAATGATCCTACTCTACAGGCTTCAGCTTCTGGTCTCAATCTGGCACACAGGACTGATACTTTGGCAGGGCAGCTTAGGTACTGCACCAGGTGCCTGAGATTTACTGAGCATGTCATGGCTAAACAGAGCATGTAATTATTCCAGGCAATAATGATGATTTCCAGAATATGAAGAGATTAAGGGGAAAAGAGCACTTGTTGCTAATACTGTTTGTTCACTTTGTGTATTTGTCTCCAGCACTGACCAGAGCAGCAAGGGGCAGAGGAGGATGAAGCAGGGCAGGGGCAGCGGTTCTGCCAAGAGCCAAGTGCAGCAGTCACTGCACTGCCGCATGGGGCTGTGGGGAGAGATGGTATCTGAAAGACTTTCCCACACCTTGCACAAGCCCTCCCAGTGCATGCATGCAGGCAGGTGATGCTCAAGAGCTGCTGGGGTATTGCATAAAGAGAGCAGGCTGCTGGACTCCCCCAGGCTACAGGGCCATGCAGATAACCCCCCGGTATAAATGTCCTACATAGCATGGGTGCTGCTGGCCTTGCAGGTAAGGAGTGAGCCTCGTGCTCACTAGGAACCAGGCAGCATGCCCTGGCTCCCCTCTTACTGTGCCTCAGTCTCTCCTCCTGATAGTGAAACACAGACATCCAATGTCACGGGAATAGCGCTACGCTTAGGGCAGGTGCCCCAAGCTTCCTGCTGCTGGACTTCATCCAAACATTGTGGCACAACCCCTCAGCCAGCGTGGGGCGAGGAGGAGTCAGCATTTTGTTTGGGAATTGCCGTCACAGGCCACCATGACTTGCAATGTACTCTTCTGCTGCTGAAGCATGCATCGATCCTCCATGCTCAGGACTGAAGCAGCCACTGCACAGCAGGAAATAGATGGTCCTGAAGATAACTGGGCCCATTAATGAAGCAAGGAAGGCTGCAATGGTCTGGCACACCAACTGGTGAGCAATCATGGCAAGGAACTGAGCTGTGACAGTTTCCATCCTCGAGCAGGGCTGTAACGCTAAGACACCTTCCCTGCTGCTGCACTTTCAAGCTGGCCCAGAGGCAGCTACGCCAAGGATGCTGCTGCTCCCAAACCAACACATGAAGCCCCCAGTGGGTCTCTAAGGGGCTGATAAGGGAACCTCTGCCCCAAGAAGGCAAAGCAGAACTGGGGAGGTGGTGAGGAGGGCAAGGGGGTCAGGGTTCCTCCTCAGCTTACACACCACTGGGGCTTGTAGAAAGGTGTGCCCAAGTGCTGTTGGAGAGACACAGGGATTGGCAGCCTGTGCAAACCACACTGTGAAAATTGAAGGTCTTCATTTCTGAACCCAGGTCACTTCCATCAGGACAGCAGAGTTCAGCACGGCTCTGCAAGCCGTGGCGGTAATGACTCTGTGGGAGTCATTACCACAAGTGTCCATGCACCAGCCCCCCCAGCACTAACCTCCCTCTGGAGGCAGGGCTGCAGGGAGGCCTGGCGGGATCCTCCCTTGCTCCATCCCGCCCAGAGCACATCCCTGCCTGTGGAGCCACCAGCCCCGGACCCAGGAAGGGCTCCTCTGCCCACAGCCGGAAGGAGGAAAAAAAAGCAATTCCTGCTCGCACAGAGAGGCTGCCGGGCCCATGCATTTCAGGGCAGCAGCCAGGGATGGTCTCGGCCTTGCGGCTCGCAGGCACTGTTCAGGGAGGTGGCAGAGCTGAGCACGGGCATGAACTGCGGGCTCTCACCACACTGGTTCAGCAGGACAGGCCGAGGGGAGAAGGCAGCTCTGGGGGCACTGCAGGAGTGCCACGCCTCATGTGAGTTTCACGTCACCATAACCCGCTGGATTTATTCTCTGTGCACAGCAGAGTTTTCACCTTGCAAGACAAAGGAGACAAAGGAAAAGCACTTCAGATGCTTCTGGAGGTGAAGTGAATAAACGGTACAAACCATCTCCTGGTATTCAGGAGGATGGTCCTGCAGGCTGTCAGGAGCTGCCTGCAACGGACTGCAGCATGGCACACATTCCTTCCTGCCCTCCACACTAGCAGTGCCGCAGGGTCTCCGGATGGGTGCCCTGCCCCCAGCCCATGTCAGGCCAGGCAGGGCTGAACTCAGGGACCCCAGCTGGGGCGGTTGCTGCTGGGCACCACCAGCTGGGGTGGACTTCAGCCCCTCACCGGCCCCTCTGGACTCCTGTGGAGTCCCATGGGACTGTGCTCCAGAGGCCAAGCAGGCATCTCAGTGGGTGCTAGGCTTTACACCAAGGGGCCAAGGCAGCTTCCTCCGCCATGCAACAACTCCTGTGCATTGACTACTGTGTGCCCAGCCCACGCAGCAGTTTTCCCATAGGAAAATCAGAGCATCAACACACTCACTTCTCAGGGCCAGCCACAGCCTTCCTAACACTGCAAAAGTGCTGCACTGCTGAAGGCAGGAAATGCAGTGTGTTGCAGATCCACACCCACCACCCGCCTCTGGAAACCGTGGATTCGGCCAGGCGTCCCGTGGTACCGGCTGTGGCCGAGCAGCCTCAGGGGATGGCGCTGATGACGCTGCCCTCCAGGGAGGGGGAATTTTGGAAATGTAAGCAAATGAGAGATGCTTTGAACAATTTGACGCCTGTCTCAAGTAGTTACTTGCAGTTCTCAAGTAATCTGCTAGATGGCATAATGCTATAACAATAACAATGATAACAACCATAATGATAACTATACACGGGTTGATTTTAATTGATCCAAACTCCAGAAATGATTTGTTAAATAATTTAAGCAGGCCTTTACATATCGCACTGCACACGTATGTACCACTTCCTTTTTGTTGAGCTTTTATTCAAACACTGACAAAGTGCTGTTCTCCACAAGCTTGGAATTTCTCTTCTTTCTGGCAAAGGACATGATACATAAGAAGCTCTAGCAATGACACAGAGATCAACTTTCTCATTATGTCTGTGCCTGTACTCGAACAACCCCAGCAAGAAATTGCAAGACAGCTTCTTGTTATGCTGCTGCTGCGTGTAAATAAAGAGCAAAGCATTACTCATGCATAATAGCTTTTAAATGCTGCAGGCTCTTCAGCTCTCAGAGCCGTACTAACCAAATCAAAGGGAAAATTATGTTGCAAGAGTGGGGCTCCTGCACTGCACGCCCTGGCCCGGAAAGCTGCCGGGGTTCGGGTTCTCCCGGAGTGTGAGGCCCCACAGTGGCTTTGAGATTTTTATCATTCTGGGAGGTTTTGAGCTGCCGGTTCCAGCACACACACACCCCCTCCCCCCGGGCCCCGCAGCTCTTTTCATTCTTCCGGCCTCGGGAGCCTGGCCATGGGTACGGCTCCCGTAGGGACGGAGCCGAACAGCAGGCGCGGGGATCGCGCTGACCGCGGGCAAGGACACCGCGGGCAAGGACCCCGCGGGGCCCTCCTCTCAGTCCGGAGCGCAGGTGCCAGAGCTCCCGCTGGGGGCCGCGCTCCGCGGGCCGGTGCGAGAGGGAATACGAGGGGGCCGGGTTGGCACCGCCCCGTGCCCGCCCCCAGCCCGCCCCACTGCACGCCGGGGCCGGGGCCGGGGCGCCGCGGCGGGCGGCGCAGACCGGCGGTGGCGGGCGGGCGGCGAGCAGCGCGCCGCCGGCTCGGCGGGCCGCGGGCAGCGGGCGCTCCGCCCTCGGTGCGCGGGGCCTCCCCTCTCCGCGCCCGCGGAGCGCCTGCGCCCCCCTATATCTACGACCGCGGCGGCCCGCAGCCCGCAAGGATGTGAGGCGGGCGAGTAGCCCAGCCGCCGCCGTCGCCGTGGCATGCCCCCCCGCGCCCGGAGCCGTCGTCGCGGCGCCTAGCCGCGGCTCCGCGGGGCGATGCTGCCCTGGAAGCGGAGCAAGGTGGAGCTGGTGGCGGGCGAGGCGCGGCGGCAGAGCAAGCCCAAGGGGTACGCGGTGAGCGTGCACTACTCGGCGCTCACCTCGCTGGCCCGCGCCTGCCCCGAGAGCGCTCTGCACCGTGTGGGCAGCATGTTCCGCTCCAAGCGGCGGAAATTCCGCGTGACCAGCGAGGATCCCACGTACACTGTGCTCTACCTGGGCAACGCCACCACCATCCAGTCCAAGGGTGAGGGCTGCACCGACCTGGCCGTCTGCAAAATCTGGAGCAAGAGCGAAGCGGGCCGGCAGGGCACCAAGATGAAGCTGACCATCAGCGCGCAGGGCATCCGCATGGCCCACGCCGAGGACAAGGGGCTGCGCCGGCCAGGCCACCTCTACCTGCTGCACCGGGTCACCTATTGCGTGGCCGACCCGCGCCTGCCGCGCGTCTTCGCCTGGATCTACCGCCACGAGCTGAAGCACAAGGCGGTGATGCTACGGTGCCACGCCGTGCTGGTCTCTAAGCCCGAGAAGGCGAAGGCCATGGCCCTGCTGCTCTACCAGACCTCGGCCACAGCGCTGGCCGAGTTTCGCCGGTTGAAGAAGCGGGACGACGCGCGGCACCAGCAGCAGCAGCTGGTGGGCGAGCAGAGCATCCCGCTGGTGCCGCTGCGCAAGCTGCTCAACGGGCAGTGCTGCTACAAGCCGCCGGTGGAGCGGAGCCGCAGCGCGCCCAAGCTGGGCTCCATCACGGAGGACCTGCTGGGCGAGGAGCAGGAGGAGCGGGCCATGCACTGCGACTGCGAGGACATCCTGGAGGCGCTGGGCGAGCCCGAGGGCGAGCTGCTGCGCGCCGGTGCCGGCCGCGGAGAGGGCCAGGAGCTGGGCCAGCTCCTCCGCGACCTGGGCGAGCTCAGCCTGGGGAACGACCTGCGCTCGCTGCGCGCCGACCTCCGCGTCCGCCGGCTGCTCTCTGGCGAAAGCACGGGCAGCGAGTCCTCCCTGGAGAGCAACGGCCCGGACGGCGCCGCCCCACCCTGCAACGGCGCCGAGCAGCCGCCCCCCGGCGACCCCGAGACCGGATGAGCGCACGGCCGCGCCGGGGGTCCGCGGGCCATTCCGGGAGTGCGCGGCGCCGCCGGGGCGCATCGGGTTCCCTCCGGTCCTTCCGGGAGTGCACGGCCCCGCCGGGAAGCACTGGGCCCCCTCCGGCAGTGCACGGCCCCGACTGGCGCGCTGGGTCCCCTCCGGGCCCCGCCGAGATAGCCTGGCACCGCCTCGGGCGCTGACGGTCCCTCCGGGCTCCCTGCGGCGCCCCCGCGTCCCGCCGCATCCCGGACAGCGACACCGGAGCCGGGCCCCAGCCCGCCGTGGCCCGAGGAGGGGAGGCTGCCGCGGGCTGTTTACCTCCGGCTCAGCCCTTGAAGATCTGCCAAATTCCTGGAATAGCTTTCCCGGGGGAGGGCGGCGGGAGGGAGGTGTTGCACCTTGTTTACAGTCAGAAATCTCACATCCGAGAGGGCCCCCCGCCGTTTTCTCCATTAAAGTCACTCCATTGTGCTGTTGTGTCCGAGAGGTTTGCACTGTTGTGAAGGTTTTGTTTTTTTAATTATTGTTGTTTCTAAGTTAGACCTTTTTTGGGGCCCCAGTCCTGTCCCCGGTCTCAGTGCTCTAGATCTTTTGCTGTGCAAAAGAAGACTCTACTTGTGGCTGTTCACCTGTACATAGGGAAATGTATGCAAATACATTTTGTTATTTTTAAGAACACCACCATTGCGATCTCCTCTGTTTGCACATACATGAAGAAAATAAAGATGACAGTAATTTAAAAGAAACTGGGGTCACTGTGGTGATCTGGCCTCTGTGTGCATTCCTGTAAGGAAATGCGGGGGGGTGGAGGGAGGGAAGGAGGAAGATCCCGTGGGATGTGTTGTAGCTGCAGGAGTTCACTGCACAGAAAGGCCCTTGAAAACACTGATCACGATTCCTGAGCCAAGTGGAAATCTTACCCTGGGGAAACAGCACCGGGGACTTAAGGTTTCATGAGACACAGGGATGAGGTTTTTTCTTTCTGAAGCCTTTGATGACAGGGGCAGGAACGTGTGAGAAGCCTCGTGTCGGGGGCTCTGGCTGGATTGTAGGCTCAGCTTGAGCAGCCCTCACGGAGTTTGCATTTGTTCCCTGCTGCTGGAGCTGGTCTCTCCCAGCTCGCAGTGCCAGCCTGAGACAATTTCATAACCTCACCCAGGGTAAGCAGTGAAGTTGATTAGCCACGGGACTGCCGCGGTATTTTTAGCTGTAAATCTGTTTGTAAGTGGCAGGCTCCCGGGGCAGTAGGGATGTTCCGGTTTCATTTGTTCCTGAGTAGAGGTATCAATTAAAGGGTAATTAATCAGGCATTTCTGATGTCTAAATGTTTTCCACTGTGCTGCAATGGGGTGAGTTGCAGGAATGTCAATGAAAAGCCCAACCAGCTGTCAGGGCCAGGCCACACTCCTTGTGCAAGGAGCCAGCTTCCAAACTTGTAAATACCCCATTAAAACAGATTGCAAAATCTGCCACCACACCAGGGAGAAGCTTCTACCATTGCCTCAGCATGAGTCAGCCCGAGGAGGGTGGCACGCCGGGGTGGTTTGCACGGGAAGGGGTAATGGTGAGAGGGGGACTCCCCATCCAAACAGGCACCTTCCTGCCCAGGTCACGCTCGGCATGGGCAGCAGGATGCAGCAGGTGGCTGTGGCCACTGCTGGATTTGTCACTGTTGAGACATGCCTCGCAAAAGTGCATCTTGCTGCTCCTTCTCAGGCAAAGCTCCTTTTGCCTTTTCTGGGGAGAGAAGGGGCAGGTAATGAGAGGAAAATGAAACACCAGAGAGGCCTTATCCTGCAGTGCTTTCCCCAGGGTGGGAGCTGCAAGGCTGACTTGCTTACAGGGGGGACCCTGGGGATCACAAGTGCCCTAGGTCTATGCCCAGAGTGCTCTGCCACTGCCTGCTGTCTCCTGGGGCGGAGCGAGCAGGTAGTACTTGGAGCAGGGCATGCCAGGGGAATTCACAGGCTGGCTTGAGCTAACCTCAGTTGCTGAATGACCGGGAAGTGTTTGCTGTACATCCTCCATGTGTGCTTTAAAGGTGGTTAATGGCATTAGCTCAGTCAATTCCTTTCCTCTGTTCAGAAGAGCCATCGTGTCTGCAGCAGTAAAGAGAGGTTTTTGTTGCATTCGGGAGCTGCATTTCCTGAGCAGCACCAGAAGCAGCCAGGGCCTAAAGCGGTCCTGCTTGAAGCCATTAGGAGGGTTACTATGTATTTTCCTTAGACTCCTGTACAGATCATTAGCTGTAAATGTAGGGTCCAAATCCTTTTGTGGCTGAGATATTTTGGTAGTAGAGCCACTGGAAAAAAAAACCACATACAGATACCTGCAGTGGTAGTGCCAGGTTATTATGTGTGCTTAACTGCCATGGCCCCTCTGTAGCAAGATGCATGGGCCTGCAAATGACAGCATGTGCATGTGAGGAGAAAAAAGGTCATATTTTCTGCGTGGCAAGTTTAAGGAGCATCTTCCAGAATAAAGAGAGGAGGAGAGAGCAAGACCTTCTCTGCAGTAAGTTTGAGTGAAGAGCTGAGCTGCTAATGATTTTCTTTTGAAACAAGTAGCTTCTTGCCGAGCTGAAAAGCCTACTGCTGGCTGATGGGGAGGCAGCCCAGGAGAAGCACAGGGCTTTGGAAAAGGCTTCTTGTGGGACACACAGGCTCTGCTGCCTGCTGCAATGCCATTCTTGTCCCAGGCACTGCTCCCATTGGTAGAGGACAGACTGTTCTGTGGTCTCTGCTCAGTGCTGGGGCTGCTCCCTGCAGACAAGGTGTAGCGTTCCCCTAGGCGTGGCATGTCCCCTGCTCAGGATGTAGGCAGAGATGCACAGTCCCCCATCCATCAGGCTCCATTCATCAGTGCTAAGTCAGCTTTACAGCTGGCGATGGTGAATCAGTCCCTGACACAGCTGAGGCGTGTGGGCTGCACAAAGAGCAGCGCAGCCCCTGGAACTGCTCTGTGACAGCCAGCAGCCCCATCCCACCGCTGCTTCCTAAGGATGGGCTAGCAAAGGGAGAGCAAAGGCAGCCTGGTTGCTCTGCTGGTAGGTTTGGACTGTGTGGGGAAGTTAGATGTGGGAGCAGATGTTTGCAGAATTACATGTCAAGCATTGCTATCTGCCACTGCTGCAAATCACTGCCCTGCTCACTGACACATCAGTCATGGCTTGGTGGGCCACAGTCCTGCCTGGGGTCGGGCAGCCCTTACAGCATGGTATGGTTGAATGCTGAGCTTCACACAGGTCTGATCTAGCAGGCAGCATGTGATGAATTGGCTAGAAAATACCCATAACAAATGATGTAACACCAGGAAAGGCAATGATCCTACTCTACAGGCTTCAGCTTCTGGTCTCAATCTGGCACACAGGACTGATACTTTGGCAGGGCAGCTTAGGTACTGCACCAGGTGCCTGAGATTTACTGAGCATGTCATGGCTAAACAGAGCATGTAATTATTCCAGGCAATAATGATGATTTCCAGAATATGAAGAGATTAAGGGGAAAAGAGCACTTGTTGCTAATACTGTTTGTTCACTTTGTGTATTTGCTGGTGTACTACAGACTTGCTCTTGGACATAGGTAATGAGGCGAGGGGGGGCGGCACACACAAATGTGGAAGTGTTTGCAAGATCCCACGTGCAGCTTCTTGTTTTGATCTTAGCATGCCCTTCTCCTGTCCTCACATATTCCTCAGCCACAACAGGAAAAAATATCATTGACAACCAGAAAAATTAGCCAGTCATCAAGTGGAATGAGCCAGGACACGGAGTGACTTTTAGCCCAGACTGCAGGACTGATTTAGATCCAGAATTATTTGCAGTTCAGTTTGGAGACATGCCCTGCATGGGGCACATCCAGTTTGCTGGGCCAGGGGCAATGCTGCAGGAACTGCTGAGGGCTGCTTTGGGCTTCCAGGTGTGAGGTCTGGTCACATGTCACCAGGTCAGTGGTGAAACCCTCTTGTTTTTGAGGTCTACAGGCAATAATACCCAGTACTGACTTATGGCTCCAGCCCCTAGGGTGGTTCCAAGTCACCTTCAGCACATACGCTGCAACTCATGCAGGAAGGCGTCAGGACTTCCTCCTTGGCGGTGTGTTGGGGAAGAGCACCTGACCTGTCCCACTGCTGTTAGTCATCCCTAAGACACCACAACTGCCCCATTTCCTAGTTCTTGGTCATCACACCATATCCCCCACTACTTAGTGGGGAAACACCATAAATTTCAGCCTGCAAATTAGGCACAGGGCAGGCCTCCTTCCTACCTTCAAACCACCCAAGGGGGTGTGGGTGACAGCACTGCACAGACCCTGGTTTTCTTGGGCAAAGGTAACCAGGATCCCATTGGTGACCTGTGGTTCTGCAAGCGATGCGCAGTGCCGGCCAGCTGTGCCTCACCTCCCACTTCTGGAGCTGGGAGGAAAATATCCCTGTATTTCCAAGGCCAGAAGCAGCCCCAGCTCCTGCAGAGCTCATGTGCCGTGAAGGCGGCTCCCCCTCCTCACCCCAGCCGCTGGTAGCAGCAGGGGCTGTTTTCCCCAGCAGCTGGAGAGAGATGATGTGCAGGGACAGGAATGCTAGGGCAGCCAGGCAGCCAGGGCAGGGCATGGACAGCATGGGGTCCCGGAGGCCAAGCCAGGTCAGTTCATCTGCACCGCTCAAGAGAGCTCAAAGAGCTCCATGGATGAGCTGACCTGGCCTGGCCTCTGGGGTTATGCTTCTCTCATAGCTCCATCACCCACCTCAGGCCAGGTGACACCTCTAGCTTGCTGGCTAGTGGCTAACAGGGGGCTGCGTCTTTGTTCATGCCCTGCAGGGTGCTTGCTGGGGGGGTGGGGTAGGTGGAATTTGCTGCTGCTACGGCCCAGTGTGAAATCAAAGCTACGCATTCAAAGAACCATGACATTCCCCTTTGCCAGTGGGGGCTCTGCCTGGCAGGAGAGCTACAAAAACACATGGAGAAACAGTTATATAATGAAGGACATGGGCCCAGTCCTGCCCTCAGCTCAACACTGCAGCTCTGTAAGGAGCTGAGCTTCAGGCTGCAGCTGCCCAGGACCGTCCAGGATCACTGCTCTCCATGCTGCTGCTGAAGGGTGGGGGCAGCAGAATGGCTGCAAACCCCTTTTTCCCAAGCTGGGAGATGCCCTGCGTACTCAGCCTTGGTAAGCCAGAGCCCAGCTTCCATCTGTGGACTTAAAACAAGTCCCATAGCAGGAGCTGGGCAAAGTCTGGGGTGGAATAGCACAGAACTGCTGAAGGGCAGGGACTGTTTGATGCAGGCATTTGGGCTTTCATGCTACTGTCCTTTATCTCTGTCCCAGGCATCCCAGATGTGGTGGCACATATGGGGACACATCATTTGTCCCCACACCCTGAACATGTCCTCAGCTCCGTGGGAAGGACATGAGCTCTCCCCTCACGAATTGGCCCCAGAAAAGGGCTGTTCTTATAGAGCTTCTCCCATGTTCTCCTGCTGCAAAATGAAGGGCAGCTGGGCAGCCTGCCTCTTGCACCTGATCCTGTTGCCATCCCACATAGAGGGGTGATATGCTTGTCATCATGTTCAGATCTGTAAATACCTGCTCTTTGGTGTGGGTACTCTGAAGACCCCAGGGGATGCAAGTGGATGCTCTGGGATGGGACTCATCGCTCTTCCCATGGCACCGTGAAGTTGCACACAGTCTGCTCGGATGCGTGAGCAAGTTAAACTGTGACATTAATTAGAGCTGACAGCGTTCCTGGA